GCCAATCAGAGCATGGTTTTGAAGGTGAGGTTTTGAAGGGGAGCCAATTGTGGCCTTTATGGGAAGTGGCCAATCAGAGTATGGTTTTGAAGGTGAGGTTCTGAAGAGGAGCCAATCATGGCCTTTGACATTGTGTAATTGTTTGCTCTCTGAGAAACCGGAGATATTCGCTGGTGCGCAGCCTCCCACAGCAGTCAGCTGTGTGGGATGGAGATTGAGGGCCTTTATCGCCATGCTGCCGGCCCTCAGCCCTGGAGGCTTGAAAGCACACGGGGTACACAAGTGTGCATGCCCAAATCCCGACCGGATGGAGAAGTGGAGAGGGAGGCAGTGTGACCATGCCACGATCAGGGGTGCTTCCCCCCTCCTCTGTGTCTCTCTGGCTAGCACATGTGCCTTCTGCAAATTAAAAGAATAAAAGAAGCCAGCGTTATAAATAGCGATCTCCAACGCGCATGCCCACACCCCACACGATGATCACTGGGTGCAGGGAAAGATAGGGCTGCTGTTCATGTTTTCCCTCTCTTTTTTTGTTTATGACCTTCTATTTCTGTATGTTTTCTACTGTATATAAAATATAATAACAAAAACTTCTACATGTGCTAGTGCATTCTCAAACTCCACTTTTTTCACTGACGAAAACTGTGATGACGATATTGAGAGCTGGGCCGGCCAGGTGGCACGGCGGTTAAGACGGCTGAGTCCCATGTGGCCGATGATGCAGTTTGAGTCCCAGATCGGGCACCTTGGAAAACATGCCAGGTGCGTGTGCAAGCGAGCTCAGAAATCCCAAGAGGAGAGTGGAGGAGGAGGGTCTGCTGCGTGGCCATTCCCCTGGGGGGTGATTTCTCACTTTCCCTCTCTCTCTGTGTGTCTCTCCGGTGTGTGCATGCACCCTGTGGCAAACTGAAAGAAAGACCTTCAACAGTTATGTTTCGGGCAATGCTCTTCAACAGAAATAACGTGAGCCAGTCAGACTTCATCTGTACCCTTAGGTCAGACAGAGCCACAGTGAAAAAGAGCGAGCGAGCGAGAAGCAAGAGAAGCCCACCCAGCTGAGGCAGTGCACGCTGGATGGAAAGCACTGGGTGCCGGGCACTGCGACTGGGCAGGCTAAGGCCACATGGGAGGTCAAGGCTGGGTTCCCCGCCCACCTAAAACCACTGTCATGGGGACATGCCCCTAGGGTCCCAACTACTCTGGAGATTGAGACAGGAGGATCAAGACATACATAGGCCCTGTCTAAAATATAATCACACTGGGGCCAACAGATGGCATAGCAGTTACATTGGTGGCCTGCCACATGGCTGACCACAATTCGAGTCCCAGACCTAGTAGCTTGAAACTCACCCAGGCAACGTGTGCATGTGTGCCCAAAATGCCAGGAGAATGGAGGAGAAGGGGTTGCAGGGTGGCCATCACCCCCAGGGGATGATTTCTCACTTTCCTTCTCACTGTCTCTGTCTTTTCGGTGAGCACATGTGCCATAAGAAAAAAAAAAAAAACTCTCTATATAATAATAATAATACACCAGGGATAGCCAGTGGCTTGGTGGTTAAGGCAACTGAATCCCACAGTTCAAGTCTTGGACCTGGCGGTTTGGAAACGCGCAGCACCTGAGCTTGCATGCCCGAATCCTGAGACAGGGGTGGAGCAGAAAGGATTTCAGTGTGGCCATCCCCCCATGGGGTGACTTCTTATTTTCTCTCTCCCTGTATCAAAACTAAAATAAATAAATTAAATAATAATTATCAAAACATCACACACACACCCACCCACAGTGAGTTGAAATTAACAGCAATAATATAGCCTACTTAATTCAACATGTGCAAAATATTCTCATTTCAACCTGTAGTCAACATAAAATTATGTTTTTAAAGATTTATTTATTACATTCCATTTATTATTATTACTTTTTGATTTGTCCAGAGAGGGACAGAAAGAGAGAAAGGGAAAGCAAGAAAGCAAGACACCAGGTCTGGGATTTGAACCACGGTTGGCCATGTGGGAATCCAGTGCCTTTAACCACCACACCACCTGCCAGCCCCATCAATATACAATTATTAATAAAACTTTTTGAAGAGAAATTTTTGTTACAGGGCACATGTGCTTGCTGGAGAGACAAAGAGAGACAGAGAGATAGAAAGCCAGAAATCACCCCCAAGAAGGGATGGCAATCCCTTCTCCTCCATTCTCCTCTCAGGATCTTGGGTACGCATGCACACCCAGTGTGTTTTAAGCCACTAGGTCTGGGACTTGAACCACGGTTGACTATGTGGGAGTCCAGCCACATAACCATTACGTCATCTATTGGTTCCAATAAAACTATGTTAAAATCAAGTATTGGGAATCTAACATGTGCTTACAGTGCGGCACAGCTCCGTCTGGGGGAGTCACATTCCGGTGCTCAACTGCAGGTGCGCTCAGGCTGCCATGCCGAAGAGGAAGTTTCTGGGCATCAGAGGGCATCTGAGGCAAGCCCTCCTCCAGAGCCTTGTCCAACGATGGCGGTCCTCCTGGGGCTGAGGCAGAACCCACCCAGCTCCTCTCCACATCACAACCACAGCAGTAAGGACAGAACCGCGTGTCCCCGTGTGTGCGCTCGGCATTTAAGCACTTTTACTCCCACCCCGTCTAACTTAGCACGCCTGTAAGGTCAAGATGATGATAATGGTGAGGATGCTGCTATCCAGAGGGTGCATGCGCTCAGAGAGAGACAGAACCCTCCAGTGGGGTGTGGTCGCTCCACAATACTTTGTCTTTCATTCCTCCTTCTTGTCAGGATTTTAGGCATGCACACATATGTGCCCGGTGTGCTTTCTAAGCCACTGAGCCCAGGATTTGAACCTGTCAGCCATGTGAGGTTCAGCTCCTTAAATGACTGAAGTAGAAATTATTGAACCCTATCAAAGGTGAGGAAAGACAGGCCGAGGTCACAGAGCCAGTTAGAACCCGTCTTTGTTCAGATCGGCCATGAACTGCAGATGGATCTGGACAGCACCCCAGTGCCTCTTCCACAAGCTCCTTGTGCGTGCTGTTGCACAGTTCTGTTACCTGCTGAGAAGGCTTTCACAGAGCCAGCGAGAGGCCTGTGCAATCGAACCAAGTACGATGAGGATGTCTTCATCCACCTCCTGAAAGAACGGAAATGCAGATCACACCGCCACTCTGGGGCCCTCTTCCACCCTCTGGCTGTGCACGGTCTGATTTCCCATGTGCCGCTGTCCTGGGTGGGGCTTCGTGTGTGCAGTCAACCTGTAGTAGATTAATTAACCATTATACTGCATTGTACTGATTCCACAGTCTCTGGGGTACATTTTTTTTTTTTCGGAGAGGTTTTCACTATAGGGCATGTGTGCTTGCCAGAAAGACAGAGAGACAGAGAGACAGAAAGCGAGAAATCACCCCCCACCCCCCCAGGGTGGATGGCCATGCCGCAATCCCTTCTCCTCCGTTCTCTCAGGATCTTGGGCACACACGCACACGAGCTTGGTGTGAGTTTAAGCCACCGGGTCCGGGACTCAAACCGACTCAAGTCGACTACATGGGAGTCCAGGGACATAGCCATTATGCTAACTGCTGGTTCCCTCTGGGGTACTTCTAAAAGGGCTACATACTTGAAGCTTCTCCTCTGAGTTAGCAGAATATGATACTGAGGACTTCAGCACTGTCTGCCCATCCAGACATCAGCCACCACCCACGCCCTCCACCCCACCCCCCAAAAGATGGTTGTGATCAAAAACAGAGGGAGGGAATCCTGCTGCTTTCAGGTCATGATGATTTAACACTTCAGGATTTATGCATCCTGGCTGTCTTGCTTGGAGAGTTTCATTTTTACATCCTGCTAAATACCTTGCAGGAGTGTGGCTCCTCTGAATTAGTTAATGCCGGTAAGGCGCGCTGTGGATGGAAGTGCTAGATCAGGGCTAAATGTGAACACGGGATCCTCCAGCTGTCCTGCGTCTGCACAGGGGTTTTCAGTGTTACGCTGAAATCCTAAGGGAAATTTGCCTTTGAAAAAAGACTTGGGTACTCCCCCTGGACTGTAGATGACTAAAATATACACACGTAAGAGTGGCGATGAACACCGGGCACTTCACATTGGTGTGGTCTCCCGGCCGGAGGTCACAATGCCTTCCCTGATAGTTCACAGTGCTGTGACTGATGGCAGTGAGGAAGAGCATTCCCTGTGAGTCGTGCTGCTTCTGTGGTAGACCTTTAGCCTTCCAGATCAGGAGTGGGTGTGTGTATGTGTGTTTTGTATGTGAGTGGGCGATTGAAATAATTTAGCTGGGACCAGCAGTTAGCATAATGGCTATGTCACTGGACTCCCATGTGGTAGACTGCCGTTCGAGGGCTGGACCTGGTGGCTTAACCTCGCGCCACATGTGTGTGTATGCATGCCCAAGATCCCGAGAGGAGAATGGAGGAGAGGGATTGCGACATGGCCATCCCTCCTGGGGGGTGATTTCTCGCTTTCTGCCTCTCTGTCTTTCTGGCAAGTGCACATGCCCTATAGCAAAAAACCTCTCCAAAAAAAATAAATAAATAAAGATATACTTAAAATTACAGCACATTAGGACAGAAGGTGGTGTAATAGTTATGTCCCATGCCAGGCGTGTGTGCGTGTGTGCCAGTTTCAAGAGGAGAATGGAGGAGAGGGATTGCGACATGGCCATCCCTCCTGGGGGGTGATTTCTCGCTTTCTGTCTCTGTCTCTCTCTTGTCTCTTCGGCAAGTGTATACACTCTATGGAAAAAGTCTGTCTCTAAAAAAATAAAATACAGCGTGTTAAATTAAGTGTTGAGTAATGTTTCACTTAAAACATTTTAAATACTTGAGGGTGGCAGGTAGCATGGTGGTTAAGGGCGCTGGACTCCCACATGGCGACTGTGGTTTGAGTCCTGGACCTGGCGGCTTGCTTTCTCACTTTCCTCTCTCTCTCTCTCTCACTCTGTCCCTCTCTGGTCAAATTAAACAAACAAATAAATAAAGTAAATAAAGTTCAATGAGATAATTCTTTTCAAAAAATTTAAATACCATTTTCATTTGCTTTTACTAACATGTTCACTAAACCTGGATTTATCAAACTTCTGACTGTGTTAAGAATCATGTTCAGGGACCAGCAGGTGGTGTGGTGGTTAAAGCGCTGGACACTCCCACATGGCCGACCAGGGTTCAAGTCCTGAATCTGGTGGCTTGCTTTCTCACTTCCTCTCTCTCTCACTCTCACCCTCTGTCTCTCTCTGGTCAAACTAAAAAATAAATGAATGAATAAATAAAATAAAATAATTACAAAAAAAATAGAATCATGTTCAGTATCCTGGGACCAGCAGTTAGTGTAATGGCTATGTTGCTGGACTCCCACGTAGTCGACTGCGGTTCGAGTCCCGGACCCGGTGGCTTAAACTCACGCCAGGCACGTGTGCGTGCATGCCCAAGATCCCGAGAGGGGAATGAAGGAGAAGGGATTGCGGTGTGGCCATCCCCCCCTGGGGGGTGATTTCTCACTTTCTGTCTCTCTGTCTCTGTCTGGCGAGCGCACGCACGCTATAGCAAAACCTCTCCAAAAAAAAAAGAAATCATGTTCAGTATCCTAATTAATGTATTTTATTTCAATGGCCCATCTTTGCAAACATTCAGAAAATATTTTCTTACCAGAAGGAAGACTGAGTGGCTTTCCACTCTTTTTATTAAATAATAATTTAATTGTTTTTAATTCATTCATTTATTTTAATTTGATGAGAGAGAGAGAGAGAGAGAAAGCCACCAGGTCCAGGACTTGAACCTTGGCTGGCCATGTGGGAGTGTCCAGCACCCAACCACCACGCCACCTGCTGGTCCCAGAGTGACTTTCCATTCTATAGTGTTTTCTAATCCTCAACTTTTAAGCTAGGTTGATACTTAAAAATAAGAAAACTGCTTAAGTCAGAGCAGATAATGTTGCAGGTTTCTATTTTTATTTAACAGCGAGAGTGTATGAAAAACATGACTTCTTGGATACCTTTCATTTTTTAATAAACAAAAAATAAATCTAAATTTGCAGCCTAAAACCCATTGGGTATTTCCTCTAGAATCCACAAAATGGCTGTTACCTTGCAAATAATTTACAGTGATGTTTATAAATGTTATTTTGGCTGATCCAAATTTCATCCTAGGACTAGAAGCAAATTATCCTTCATCTTTTAATTGCTTTTCAACATAAGAAAGTCTTCGGTTTATTTTTAATCGTCAAAATTCCTAAATGCTCCAGCAGGATCCTCAGTCAATGTAAATTTACATAATTCATCTTCTTCCACTCAACTTGTTTTTCTATAATTAGTGCAGCTGTCACCAGGGAGCCACATGCTTGTGGGCAGGTAGCTATGGGTACAGCAGGCAGGCTTCAGTCAAACCTTCCCTTTGAAACCATCTATCAGGTCTTCTCCTTACTTCAAATGAGTCGGTTCCATACAGAAGAATTTAGTTCTTCTTTAGAAGGTCTCCCTCTTCAAACCCCACCTTTTTTTCTTCACTGCCAGTGGGTGTATACCCTCAACAGAGTCACAGAGAGACAGAGACAGCGAGAAAGAGAGAAAGTACTCCCCATGGGGCATGGTCATGTTGCATCCTTTTTCTCCTGTGTCTCTAACCCGTCAGGAGCTTGGGCATGCACACACACATGCTGGCGTGTTTTTCAAGGCCCTAGGGCTGAGACTCAAACCACAGTGGTCCATGTGGAATCCAGCTTTCTGTGGACAGTACCTAGTGGCTGCAATCCAGGGCCAGCCCTCCTTTTCCAAATTTCGACTGTCATTCCCTGACTTACCACTCTTCTTCCAGGTCCACTTAGCCAGAAGACATAAATAAGTTCTTAAGGAACTTCTTGGCCAAGGCAACTTTTAGGCTGCATACATAATATTTCTCTTTATAGATTCTGTATTTTTATCAAGACATAGCCTCTTTTATAATGCAGGGTTGTTTTGTTTTGTTTTGTTTATAAGCTGGAAAGTGTGTGCACTTTCTAGAGAAAGAGGGTAAGGGAGAAGGCACCCCCAACGAGGCATGGTCACACCACAATCTCTTCTCCATTTCTTCATCCAGTTAGGATTTTGAGCACACATGCACATATGCCAAGTGTGTTTCTTTCTTTTTTTGGAGAGGTTTTTGCTATAGGGCGCGTGCGCTCGCCAGACAGACAGAGGGAGACATAGAGATAGAAAGCGAGAAATCAGCCCCCAGGGGGGATGGTCACGCCGCAATCCCTTCTCCTCCATTCTCCTCTTGGGATCTTGGGCACGCACGCACACGTGCCTGGCATGAATTCCAAGCCACCGGGTCCGGGACGCGAACCGTGGTCGACTACGTGGGAGTCCAGCGACATAGCCATTATGCTAACTGCTGGTTCCCCCAAGTGTGTTTCTTAAGCCATGAGGGGTCAGGATCCAAACCATGCCATCAATCATATGAGATATGGTCCCCTTAGGAGCTGGGTCACTGGACTGGCCTTCAACATGGAGGTCTAATCACGCCTAGGTCTTTGGTGACCAGCCCCCACCATGAAGCTATCTAGGGACCCCCAGTCATCAGTCATCTCATTAGCATACAAAAGACACTCTGCTCCAGAGATTCCAAGGGTTTTAGAAGCTGCATGCCAGGAAGCAGAGAAAGAGATCAAATATATATATATATTTAATCAATCATAGTATCAATCTTCTTCAAGTGTCATATATTCCGTTTTTGTGTATTCTATTATTGCTGCATTTGTGATATTTATTTTTATTTTTTAAAAGAGATTTTTGCTATAGTGCACTCGCAGGAGAGACAGAGATACAAAAAGCTAGAAATCACCCCCCCAGAGGGGATGGCCACACTGCAATCCCTTCTCCTCCAGTCTCTCTTTGGGATCTTGGACACACACGCTCACACACACACCTAGCATGAGTTTTAAGCCACTGGGTCTGGGACTCAAACCAAGGTAAACTATGTGGGAGTCCAGCGAGGTAACCATTATGCCATCTGCCGGTCCCTATTTGTAATATTTATTTTATGAGTTGAGTAGCCAAGGTTTTATGACATCTAAATCTTCACTATAAAGAGAATTTCCCGTAAAATTATAAATGGAGCGACCAGAAGGAGGTGTAGGTAAAGTGTTGGACTCCCACACGGCTGACAGCTATTCAAGTTCCAGACCCAGCAGTTTGAAAATCACATCGAGGGCATAGAGGTGTGTGTCCAAAACTCCAGGAGGAGAAAGGAGAAGGGATTATGGCATGGCCATCCCCTCTCAGGGCTGAATTTTTACTTTCCCTCTCTCTGTATCTTTTTCCAACTAGCGCATGTGCCTTATGGCAAAAAAAAAAAAAAAATCATAAATGGCTAAGAGAAAAGCACGTAGTGAGTGCCTTGTACCTGCTAGGTGTAGTGGAGGGAAGAGGAAGCGTGTGTAGCCATGTTCCTTGGCGCGGCAGGGCTTGGCGGGAGTATAAATACATAGCAGCGGTTTACGACTTAGATGGCCAAGGGTGGCAGAACATGCACATAAAAAAATCCCACCATGGCGAGGCTGACGTGTAAGTGACAGGGGACGATTCTCCCTCGGGATATTCTGTTTCTACAGGCCTTCTGGAGAGGCCGGGCCCTAGGTGGGTTTCAGCCCGGGAGCTCCTTCCAGGGCCGGGAAGGTGCAGTCCTAGGTCCCCAACTTAGCGTGGGGGTTGGCTGGGGGTGAGAGGTCTGGTGAGGCCCAAAGCTGCTGTCTGCAAGAGCCCGACAGAGCAGAGCCTCGAGGCCCAAGGCAGTCACCCAGGAAGGAGGGCAGGTGGAGGTGAGAGACAGCAGAGGAAGCCCAAGGACTGAGAGGAGGCCAACAGGGCAACTGCCCACGCACGTAGCATCAGGACAGGGGCTTGGAACGCCAGGTGGTGGTGTTCACCTGGGCAGGGACAGAAAAGAGCTCAGGACGCACACGACTCAAATGACAAGGAGTCCAGCGGGCAGTAGAACACAGGCCGGAAAGCCTGGTGGGTAGTGACAGAACCTGGAGGTGGTTGGTGCTGAACGGGGCGGAGGTTAGAGAGGGGCGCAGGCGGGAGCTGGAGGGGAGCAGCAAGGTCACAGCAAGCACAGGTAACTGAGAAGGGAGAGGTGGTCCTGTGGCCCTCTGAGGCCAGTTTCAGGGCTGCCCACCTGACGCCCCTCCAAGGGCAGGCAGGTGCGGCTGGCGGGCCGCGGGGATTCTGGGTGCACAGTAAGGGACAGGCCTCAGCCCCCTTGCCTGAGTTCCAACACCGCGACGACGTGGGTCTGACTCAGGCTGGTGGCTCCAGGCTGGGCCAGAAGAGCTCCCAGGGCAGGGTCAGAGTAGTGGGGCGGGCGAGCAGGGAGGATGAGGTGCGGGGCATTCTCTGCGGTCTTGGAGAGCACCCCCATGAGAGACCAAAAGGCGGGCACAAGGCCTGTGGCTGCGTGTTTCCAAGAACAGGGCTCTAACCTAGAAGACGACTCTGCATTCCCGCCCGCCCAGCTCTGCGGAGCCCTGTCAAGAGCCTGGAACACAGACTAACTGAGTACCTTCCTGGTTCCCCTTCCTGGTTCCACGAATACTGCCTTCAAAAGCAGCAAGAGTGGACCCCTCCCCAACGCTGTCTCTAACAAGCCCCTGAGCTCAATGCAGAGACTTCCAGAAGCACTGTGCTGGAGAGGGTGTATGCTTTCCGGGTTGTCCTTCTCCGCTCAGGAAAAACTGAAATCTTCTTCTGCAGGCCAAAGAGGAGCAGAATATCCTGTTTGCTTCTAGAATTCGTTTCTTTAAATAAAACATTCATTCATTCATTCATTTATTTATTTATTTATTTATTTATTTATCTAGTTATTTGTTGTGATCTTCAGGCCCCTGGACCCTGGACTTGAACTGTGGCCAGTCATGTGGGAGGCTAGGGCCTCAACTACCACACCACCGCCAGCCCCGCTTCTAGAATTCATCTTAAGAATTAATCTAGCAGCCAGCAGATTGTGTAGTGGTTACATCACTGGACTCCCACATGGCTGGCCACGGTTTGAGTCCCGGACATGGCTTGAAAATCACACTGGGTGCGTGTGCGTGCGTGCCCAAGATCCCGGGAGGAGAACGGATTGCAGTATGGCCACCGCCCTTGGGGGTGATTTCTTACTTTCTCTCTCACTGTGTCTATCTCTCTCTGGTAAGCACACACACCCTAAGGCAAACCTCTTAAAAAAATAATTAATCTCCAGGCCAGCCCTGTAGTCTAGTGGTTAAGGGAGCCAGATCCCACATGGGCAACCATGGTTTGAGTCCTAGCCCCGGTAGCTTGAGAAACGCACCAGGCACCTGTGCATGGGTGCCCCAAATCCCAACAGGATGGAGAAGTGGAGGGGAAGGGACTGTGACACGACCAAGCCCCCCTGGGAGTGCTTCCTCCCACTCCACTGCTGGCAGGCATACCCACACTCTGGCAGTTAAAAATATAGAAGACTTGGAGCCAGCAGATGCCATAATGGTTATGTCGCTGGACTCCCATGCAGTCGAAGGTGGTTTGAGTCTCAGATCTGGCGGCTTAAGCTCACACTGGGTACGTGTGCATGTGTGCCCAAAATCCCGAGAGGAGAATGGAGGAGAAGGGATTGCAGTGTGGCCATCCCCCTGAGGGGTGATTTCTTGCCTCTGTCTCTCTGTCTTACTGGTGAGCACACACACCCTAAAGCAAAAATCTCTCTTAAAAAAACAACAAAATAGAAGTCACTGCCTTTGGGACCAGCAGGTGGCATGGTAGTTAATGTCCCTGTACTCCCACATGGCTGACTGCAGTTCTAGTCCCAGACCCAGTGACTTGCTTTCTTACTCGCTTTTGCTCGCTCATTAGCACATGTGCCCTATAGCAAATGAAAGAATAACAATAATAAATAAAATTAAATAAGTGGGGGCCAGCAGATGGAGTAATGGTTATGTTGTTGGACTCCCACATATTCAACTGTGATTTGAGTTCCAGACCGGGCGGCTTGAAACACATGCCAGGTGCATGTGCGTGTGTGTCCGAAATCCTGAAAGGAGAATGGAGGTGGAGGGAATCACTCCTGGCGAGATTTCTCACTTTCTGTCTCTCTGGGGAGTACACATGCACTACAGCAAAAACTCTAAGAAAACAATTAAATGATTCTAAAAAAGGAAAAGTCATTGCCTTCAAGGGCTCCTCTGCTCATGGGTGAAGGGAAGGGAGATTAAGGTCCAAATTCCCAGAAGAGAATTCTCGGATCTGCCACCCACGTTAAACTTGACTCCAAGTAGCCTTTGAGTATTTCTGAGAAGCAAATCCACCTTCCAAGTAGGAAATGTGCTGCCCTGAGGAGTTTTCAATACTATGCGCCCGGTCGATGTATCAGAGCCAGCGCTACCCTGACGTCCGCCCCTCTGAAATGCTTAGTACAAAATAAACAAGTCATCAACTACAGCACGTCTACACTTCTGGTCGCGACAGTGTCTCAGGGTGCCCTCTGCCTTCCCTCCCAGTTGTTACCAGAGCAACCTGGCCCTTCTCTAACGCTCCCCTGACATCAGCACTGGGAGTCCCACAGAACTCCGGAGTGATTCACCTCCCCACCTGCAGCAGGAAGTCCCTCTAGCCTCGGTCAGCGCTTAGCGTGTGGGTGAAGGCCTTTTCCAAGGGCAGTTTTCCAAATATTATCGAAGCATAAAACCATCGGGTGATCTACTACAAACACCGGCTCCTGGACCACCTGGTGGCGTAGTGGTTAGGGCCGCTGGATCCTTCATGGCCGACTGAGCAGTTGGGATCCCGGACCAGGCGGTATGAAAACCATGCCAGGCCTGTGTGTGCCCAAAACCCCACGAGGAGGATGGCGAGAAGAGGCCGCTGTGTGTGGCCATCCCCCGGGGTGATTTCTCACTCTCTCTGGCAGGGCTAGTGCCCTATAAGCTAAAACAAACGCACACTCACCAATAAATAAATAAGCAAAAAGGAGCCAGGATTTAGTGTTTGCTTAGATGTTGGGCCCTGGCTCACTTGGACACTAAGACTGTCGTGGTGGCCTTAGAGTGGCAGGGCCCGTGGATCCAGGCTGACCCTTCCTCAGATACAATGGAATAAGCAGAGTACCATATAGTAGGACAGTGGCAAGGCCACCCAGCATGAACCCCAAGGCAGGATTTGTACCCCAGGTGGGGCAGGGTGTGCAGGCAGTAGGAAGGACCCAGAACCCTGAGCTCTTGGAAACGTGAGAACGAGCAGCCTCCATAGGACAGCAGAAGCCAGTGAACCTGCTGAGGACGAAAATGCTCCTTTCTCCTGGAAGCAGAGTCTGGCAGGCACAGGACACGACAGGACAAGCGGCCAGGGAAGGGGCCGGGGAAGGAGAGCACAGGGCAGCCGGGTCCCTGGAGGCACAAGGCGTCCTGTGTAACCAGCTCACGGGGAAGACCTCTCAGAGAGATCTCAGAACCAACCCCAGCCTCTGCCAGTGTAGACCTTGGGCCTCTCGGAGGCCAGCAGCTCCTGCACTTCTCTAAACAAGGGAGCAGCCAGGGAGGCAGCCAGCACCGGACTGTGGGATTAGGCGGCCCCCACAGCCTGTTGGAGGTTGGCGTCGTCCCTGATGGGCCCCAGACAGTTCCGAGTGGTGGGAAAAAAGAGGTCCCGGCTGGCCGGGAAAGCACACTGCAGACGTGTATGATGCAGGAGGCTCAAACCACTGAGAGACAGAATGCCACATCGTGGGGACGAGGTGGCGGGGTTGAGCCAGGGCAGACAGGTGCGGAGAAAGGACAAGGCCGTGACACGCCCACACAGAGGATCACCAGGGAGCATGCAAGGCGGGGTTAACAACAGCAGGCGCTGTGGAGCTGGGGACGCTGGATCTCAGCTGCCGGGCTGTGCAGTTCGAGCTCCAGACGCAGCGGCTTGAAACCCACTCCCGGCGCACGTGCCGGTGTGTGTGCCCCAAATCCCAAATCCCAGGAGGAGAATGGAGAAGGGACTGTGGCATGACCGGTTCCCCAGCGGGTGTGTGTGTGTGTGTGTGGGGGTCAGTGTGTGATTTCTCACTTTCCCTCTCTCTCTATCTCTCTGGCGAGTACATGCCCAGGTAGCAAAAGTAAAAGAGAAAAACAGCAGTGCAGTGCCGGTGTGCACTTTCTCAGAGAAGCGGAAATGTCAGGGTTCCTTTTACCTTCGCTGCACTGAAAGGTCGCGGGCACGCGGGGACCACAGGGACCCAGAGGACGTCATCTTCCTTCCTTCCAACTTCTTTTGTTTCCATTCTCCTTCGGTTACATGGGGGTAAGAGTACAAAGTAATACAGGTTAGTCGTTGAAATTTACCTAGCCTAAGATGCTAATTCCAAGCCCTATCTCCCCGAGAGTTCAGCTCAGTAGTCCAGGGGTGGGAACTCTGTGAGGATTAAAGGAGACACCAGCAAAATATTGGGACCAGCAGGGGGGATGGTGGTTAAGGCGCTGGACACTCCCACGTGGCCAACCACAGTTCTGAGTCCCTGGCTCTGGCGGCTTGCTTTCTTACTTTCCCTCTCTCTCTGTGTCTCTCTCTCTGGTCAAATTAAAAATAAATGAATGAAAAAATAAAATTAAATAAACAATTATTTTAAAAAATGTTTCGCACATGCCTGGTCCAGGCCAGCTAATAGAGGCCACCCGTAATATTATTATTTGAGTGGATCTGGCATGAGAAGCAACTTCCTTTGGAAAACTGAAACTTCTGTAGCATCATTGAAAAAAAATTTTTTTAAAGAATCATTTGTTTAATTTTATTTATTCATTCATTTAATTTGACCAGACACACACACACACACACACACACACACACACACACACACGAAGTGAGAAAGCAAGCCACCAGGTCCAGGACTCAAATCTCGGTTGGTCACGTGGGAGTGTCCAACGCCTTAACTACCATGCCACCTGCTGGTTCTTGCAGCATTCAAAATTAAATGGAAGTTTAAAACGCCAAGCTTCAGGGGCTGGCAGGTGTTATGGTGGTTAAGGGTGCTGGACTCCCACATGGCCAATCATGGTTTGAGTCCCGGTCCTGGCAGGTTGCTTTATCTCTCTCTCTCTCCTCTCTCTCTCTCTTTCCCCCTCTCTGGTCAAATTAAAATAATAATAAAGTTCAATAAAATTAAAAAGAAAAAAGAAACACGCCAAGCTTCATTCTGGCTAGGAAGAACAAGTTTCCCCCTACTAAATGAATGCACAACATATTTTCACGAATACTTTGGAAGTGGACATTTTATACTTCCTAGTGACTCTTACTGCCAAGTTACACGACCAGATCATCAAGTGCTGTCAACAGCACAAGTCTAAAGAAGCTGCCAGTGAAAAGCCCGTGGAGAAGAAAGTGTAGGCTGTTGAATGCACCCCGGTGCGCTGTACATTGATGTGGGCGGATGGAGGAGATGGCTGCCTGGAATTGAGGCAGAGCGGACATTCATTTCCAACGGGATTAAAAGAAAAATGCCTTCCTTGGCAAACGGATGATTTCAACGATTTGCTTCCAGTACAGAAGCGTCCGGTGGGTCGCAGGCTAGACAGTGGTGCTCTGTGAGGCAATGCCACGTGGGGAGGTTTCCGGTTCAAGTCTAGAGACTTCCCTGAGTACGCTGAGCACACGGGGCCTGTGACCCGGGGCTGCCTCAAGGCTGGGGGTGTGCCGTCCGTTGTGGCCATCAAAAAATAAACTTTAAAGAAAAGTGCTCAGTGTCTGTGAAGCAGGAACTGGTCAAAACTCTTCTGAAATGTTTCTGGTGGACAAGGTAGTGTCTGAGAGCATTCAGGGGTTAACTCTGTGAACAACACTGCCAGACTGCCATGCGCTATTGGCCATCGAAAATTCACACCTAAAGAATGTAGGGCTGGGAGCCGGCAGGGTGGTGTGGTAGTTAAGGGTGCTGGACTCCCACATGGCCGACCATGGTTTGAGTCCTGGACCTGGCGGCTTGCTTTCTCACTGCCTCCCACCACCACCTCTGTCCCTCTCTGGTCAAATAAAATAAATAAATCAATTTTAAAAGTCTTTTAAAAAGATTGCAGGGCTGGCACCATAGCCTAGTGGCTAAGGGAGCTGGATCCCACATGACCAATCACAGTTCGAATCCCAGGCCTGGCAGCTTGAAAAACATTATCAGGTTTGTGTGTGTGCTTGTGCCCTCAACCCCAACAGGATGGGAGGAGGAGGGAGGATTACGGTGTGGCCAAGCCCCTTTCTGTCTCTGGCCAGTGCATGTGCTCTCTGGCAGTCAAGAAAAAAAAAAAAGAATGCAGACAATTTTTTGGATTTTTTTGTTTTAAGGTTCTTGCCATTGGGTGCGTGTGCTTGAGGGAGAGACAGAAAGAGAAAATGAGAAATCAGTCCCCAGGGGGAGAGCCCTGCCACAGTCTCTTCCACTCCTCCCAGGGTTCTGGGCACATGCACCTGCTGGGTGTGTTTTTCAAGCTGCCAGGTCTAGGGCTTGAACTATTAGTGTCAGCCACGTGGGAACCAGCACCCTAGCTATGCCACCTGCTGGCCTCTTGGATTTTATTTTCATTGAATTCTTTTACATTTAAATGATCAAATTGGGCCCTGGCTTTATTTTCAACTTTAAGTATTCTTTGTAGACGAAACATAACAGGAATAGACTCTTCTTCGATGTATCCCCAGTGCCTGGCACACAATAGACTAGTATTTGTTGAGTTAATATATAAGTTTTTTTTTTTTTCTTAGAGAGGTATTTTTTGCTATTGGGCGCATGTGCGTGCCAGACAGACAGACAGAGACAGAGATACAGAAAGTGACAAATCACCCCCCGGAGGTATGGCCATGCCACAATCCCCCCCTCCTCCATTCTCCTCTCAGGATCTTGGGCATACACACACATGTGCCCGGACTGAATTTAAAGCCACCGGGTCTGGGACTTGAAGTATGGTTGCCTGCATGGGAGTCCAGTGACATAACCATCATACCATTGGTCGGCCTCCCAATTTAAAAAAAAAAAATTATTTAATTACATTTGTTATCAATATTTTTTAATGATTAAAAAGAGAGAGGGAAAGTGAGAAAGCAAGCTGCCAGGTCCAGGACTCGAACTGTGGCTGGCCATGTGGGAATCCAGCCCGTTTAACTACCATGCCACCTGCCAACCCCATAGTCCCTAAATTAATATAGAAGTTTTAATATCTAGAATGGTTAAAGAGGGCAGGGCAATTCTATTAAAAACCTTGCCATGCTTCAAGATAACATTAGTAGAGATTTCCTTGTGAAGAGCAATCCAAACAATGCATTGACTTTAATAGGCTTGTAAATTCAAAACACACGATTAGCACTGATAAACCTGGAACCCCCTGGTAACTGGCCTGGAATGAATGCATGGGCTCCCTTAGGGCTCAGGTGCCGGTAGCTCTGACCTTCACTGCGGTGAGACTGGCCCCTGGTGGTGGTGAAAGTCACACCCTGGGACACACCGACAGCCACCAGTTCTCCCACTCACCTCACCACCTAACCCACCCCCAGACCTTACTGCGGGAGTTGGGGAGGACTGATTTTAATTTTATTCGTAGGAAATAGCTCCTGCCTAAATTAGCAACAGAGGCACAGGCTTTTATTTCTCCTATCACAAACAAATTCAGCTTTAACAGGTCGGTTTTTGAAATTGTGCAGAGTCCGGATGGTGCTGGATGTACTGGGAAGCCTTCTCAAAATACGTAAATTAAAATGTAAAACTTAAAGAAGGAAATTCAGCGCCTTTAACCACCCGTCAGCCCCAAAAGGTAATACTTTTAAACTGAGCACATTTAGTCAAATAGTTCATGCATGCAAATCCTTTCATGGACCTTAAACCCTCGTTTTGTCAAATAAATAAAAATTTGGTACGAAGGAAAAATTTTACATAGAACATTTTCTGTAAAAGGCCATAGAATGAGATTTCTGTATTGAGTGGCCTTTCCGTGTTCTTATGAGCGAATGTATTGGATGAACTGTCACCACGTGTGGCTCGCACTGCAGACTGTGTATCGTGCAAGCTGGTCTGCCCTCTAGTTCCTTACAGGGCGCATGCGCTCCCTGGCAGACAGAGAAGGTGAGCAGTCACTCCCAGAGGGGAGAGCTTTGCAGTATCCCTACTTTTCCTCGGGACTTTTGGGCAGACATGCACACACACCGGCATGTTTTTTTCCCCTCCTTTAAAAAAAAAAAAATTTGCTATAGGGTGTGTGTGCTCATCAGAGAGAGAGAGAGAGAGAGAGAGAGAGAGGAAGTGAGAAATCACTCCCCTCCCCGGGGAAGGCTACAGTGCAACCCCTTCTCCTCCATTTTCCTCTCAGGCTCTTGGGCACACATACACACATGCCAGGTGTGATTTTCCAGCTGCAGGTCCTGAACTTGAGCAGTGGGTGGCTCTATGGGAGTCCAGCATCTTAACCACCGCACCACCTGCCGCTCCACAACACATTTTCAAGCAACCTGGTCCAGGATTCAGAGCAATGGGCCATGTGGGTCGGTCCAGCTGCCTTAACCTCCACAGCACCTACTGGCCCTATATGTACATTTTAAATCAAATTAAAAGCACTCAGTACTTCCCTCTCATGGCAAAGACAAAGCATCTAATTTTGCAAGGATTTTGTTACAGCCTTTCGACAGTTTTTTTTTTTTTTTTTAAATAATTATTTAATCTTGGGGGCTGGCAGGTGGTGTGGTGGTTAAAGGCGCTGGATTCCCACATGGCCGACCACTGTTCAAGTCCTGGACCTAGTGGCTTGCTCTCTCTGCCTCTCTCTCTCTCTGGTCAAAATTAAAAAATAATGATAATAAATAAGTTATTTTTAAAAAAGAATTATTTAATTTTATTCATAATTATATTTTTTAATTTGAGCAGAGAGATACAGATAGAGACAGAGAGAGAGATAAAGTGAGAAAGCAAGCCACCAGGTTCAGGACTCGAACCATGTCATGTGGGATTCCAACAACTTAACCACCATGCCACCTGCTGGCCCCTCAACAAGCTTTTTCAAAAAGAATTATTTAATTTTATTCATAATTATATTTTTTAATTTGAGCAGAGAGATACAGATAGAGACAGAGAGAGAGATAAAGTGAGAAAGCAAGCCACCAGGTTCAGGACTCGAACCATGTCATGTGGGATTCCAACAACTTAACCACCATGCCACCTGCTGGCCCCTCAACAAGCTTTTTCTTTTTAAAGAATTATTTACTTACTTAATTTTTTTTACATGTTTTTTGGGGGGAGAGGTTTTTGCTATAGGGTGCATGCGCTCATCAGAGAGAGACAGACAGCGAGAACACCCCCCTGGGGGGGGTGGCCACACAGCAATCCCTTCTCCTCATTCTCCTCTCGGGATCTTGGGCACACATGTACACGCACCCGGCATGAGTTTAAGCCACTCAGTCCAGGACTTGAACCATGGTCAACTACATGGGAGTCAAATGATGTAGCCATTACACCATCTGCTGGTCCCATTTTTAACATGAGTTTTGCCAGAGGAGGACAGAGGGAGAATTAGACAGCAAGCCACCAGGTCTGGGACTCAAACTGTGGTCAGCCCTGTGGGAATTCCAGTGCCTTAGCCACCATGCCACCTGCTGGCCCAACAGGCTCTTTCTTACACTACCATTAGGATTTGTTCTGACCACCTAGTCTGTCAAGGAAAACTTGACCTACAGTGTAACTGCCTAGTCTGCCATGGGTTTAGACTTTCAAATACCTTATGCAAGACTGTAACAGGCACCAGCCATGGTGGCATGGGCAGTAGGGCACTGCTGCGTAATGCCAGGGTCACAGGAGAGGCCTGGCTTCAGCTCCCAGACCCACCTGAACACAGCACAGCAGCACACACCTGTGCTTCCAGCTAACTGGGAAGTGGGGGGCTGGAGTGTGACGTCCCAGGACCCTGTTGAAAATACCTATCTCGGGGCAGCCTGTGGCCTGGTGGTCACATGAGCCAGGTCCCACATGCCTGACTTCGTAGTTAGTGTTCCAGCCCCAGTGACTTGAAAAACACACCAGGGGCATGTGCATGCGTGCCCAAAATCCCAAGAAGAGAAATGGAGAAGAGAATCTAATGTGAGCATCCCCCATCGGGGGTGATTTTTCACCCTGCTCCCTTCTCTCCAGCAACCACATATCCTCTGGCAAAAATAAAAAAACAAGGGGGTGGCAGTAGATGGCCGTGGTCGAGGCAGTGGACTCTCACGTGGCCAACCACAGTTCAGTCCTAGACCTGGCTGCTTGCTCTCTCACTTTCCCTCTCTTTCTGGTAAGCCAATTAAGAAATAATGGGGTCAGGAGGTGGCGTGATGGCTAATGCACTGAACTGCAGTTCAAATGCCGGACCTGGCGGCTGACTTTTTCTGTTTACCTCTTTCTCTCTCTGTCTCTCTGGGGAGTGCATGCTCCCATAACTAAAATAAATATATATATATATACATATATATATATATATATACACACACACACACACACATATATATATATATAAAATTATATTTATATTAAAAAAATCTCAAAAACTCCAAATAAAGAGGAAATTTCGATTTCTTTTTCATAAAAAAAAAAAAAAAAAAATTAAGATACTGAGAGACCAGCATGTGGCATGGAGGTTAAGGCAGTTGAACCCAAGTTCAACTTGGCAGTTTGAGTCAGCCTGAAAATCATGTGTGCAAAATTCTGAGGGGAGGATGGAGGGGAGGGATTGTGGAGTGGCCATCCCCTCGGGGTAGGAAGGTGCTTTCTTACTTTTATTTTTTCTAAGTCTCTGGCAAACACACCTGCCCTATAGCAATAAGCTGAAATTAATTAAATATTTTAAAAACCAAAAAACCTTAAAAGAGATCATGTGTACACATGCGTACATGTGTGCCCAAAATCCAGGGAGGAAAAGGGACTGCGGTGTGGCCGTCCCCCTGGGGGTGTGATTTCTCTTTCTGTCTCTGTCTCTCTGGCAAGAACATGCATCGCTATAACAAAAATCTCTCAAAAAAAGAAATTCATACAAATTTCATTACTGACCTTGATAAACTATCATGACCACATGTTTTTTACTGGGTTTATTTGGCTTTCATCAGCAGACTAGCTGTTACGGTCACCTTTCTCAGCCCCTCTTCTCCATCACCAACGTAAAGCGCAAGGGTTCTTTCATCAGCCTTATTCCATACCAGACACACAGTGAATCCCAGCCAGTCACGTGTGGGTCCGAAGTGGTCTGCAGGTCCCGGAGCAGGAGAGGACAGGCATGGACAGGCGAGGCGACTCGAGGTTGGGTGCTGTCCAGGAGCCAAGCTGCCGAATTTCAAGCACTGAAGACTGGCTTTACCTTTCAAGGAGAAACAGTTGTTCCAGTGACTAAATGCCCTACTACAAAACTTCCCTAAAGCTTCAAGTTCCTCTTTGGGTTCTGTTTTGGGATTTTTATTGACTTACAGGAAAACGGTCGAATTTCTGATCTGATTCCTGGACTCGGCTGGGCAGCACTGTATTAGAACTGACCGCAATTTCATTTTAAGAAAGAGTTACAATTAGGATTGGCCAGCCCCTTGCACAGTTGGTGGGATACTACACTGCAGGGCTAGAAGCCACATGTCAACCGTGGTTCAAGACCCCGGCCTGGCTGGTCTGAGAGCACCCTGGTGCGTGCCTGGAACCTGTGGCCTGGAGGACAGGGACTGGCACACGACAGAGCCCGGTGGGGGTGCTGTTCTCTCCTGTCTATGTACATGTGGTCCATTCTGGATAAAAAAAAAAAAATTAGAATAAAATACGGAAGACACAGACCAGTCTTGGTGATTTTAATACATAGCACCTTGCTCTCTGGTAAAGGAAAAATTGAAGGCAGTTAAGATTTCATTCTCAGTACCAGCAGGTGGTGAAATGGTTGTGTCACTGGACTCCCACATAGTCGACCACAGTTCAAGTCCTGGATTCAGTGGCTTAGAACTCACACCGGACGCGTGTGCGTGCGTGCCCCAAATCTTGAAAGAATAGAGAAGGAATTGTGGCCTGGCCATCCCCCCAGGGGGTGATTTCTCACTTTCTGTTTCTCTCTGTGCCTTCAGCAAGCGCACACGTCCTATAGCAAAAATCTCTCTTTAAAAAAAAAAAAATTTCATTTTTGTGAAGGGAAGAAACATGAAGTTATAGTAAAGAAGACAGTGTGTGGAACACCAGATTCATTACACTTGTTTACACGTGGACGATACCTATGATTAAGAAGTTCTCAACTTTAGATCTCTGTAGAACGTAACTACGTGATTCATCATCAGTTCTGCATGTTTAAATTTGCTTCAAGTTTTTGTTTTGTTTTAATTGCCAGAAGGAACTGCACTCACCAGAAACAGAGAGATGAAAAAAGTATTCCCCAATGGGGCACAATCCCTTCTTCTCCATCTCCCCATCTATGTGGGATTTGGGGCCACAAACCCAGCATGGTTTTCAAGCTGCCCTGGCTGAGATTTGAAGTGCAGAGGGTTATGTGGGACCGGATTCCCTTTACTATTAGGGTACAGGGCTTGCTCATCTTTTTTTTTTTTAACTTGGATTTTTGCCATAGAGTACGTGCATTCAAGAGACAGTAAGGGAAAGTGAGAAATCACTACCAGGGGAGACGGCCACACTGCAATCTGCTCTCCTCCATTCTCCTCTTGGGATTTTAGGCACATAGGCACCTGGTATTTTTTTTAAAGCCACCAGGCCTGGGACTCGACCCATCCAGTCAGCCATATGAGATCTAGCTGCCTTAACCACCAAGCCACCTGGCTGGCCCACCTTGATCTTTTCTTTAAAAATTATTTTTTTATGTAAGTTTTTATTTATTATTATTTTTAAATTTACCCACAGAAGAGACAGAGAAACAGAGAAAGTTAGAAGAAAGACTCCAGGTCCAGGACTTGAACTGCAGCCTGCGATGTAGGAGTCCAGTGCCTTAATAACTATGCCACCTGATGGCCCCAATTCTCTTTTTTTTTAAAGAGAGATTCTTTTGCTATAGCGTGTGTGGGCTCACCAGAGAGACAGAAAGAGAGAAATCACTCCATAGTGGGGATGGCCACGCTGCAATCCCTTCTCCATAGGATCTTAAATGCATGCACACATGCCTGTGTGTTTTTTTGTATGTGTGTGTGAGAGAGATTTCTGCTATAGGGCACGTGCACTCACTGGAGAGATAGAGACAGAGACAGAAAGTGAGAAATCACTCCCCAGAAGGGATGGCCACACTGTAATTCCTTCTCCTCCATTCTCCTCTCGGGATTTTGGCACACACGCACACGAACCTGGAGAAAGTTTCAAGTTGTCAGGTCTGGGACTCGAACTGCAGTCGACCATGTGGGAGTCCAGTGATGTAACCATTAGGCCATCTGCTGGTCCCCTCCCTGATTCACTTTTAAAACCAGTTAAAATGCTGTATGCTTAGCAGATGGCATAGTGGTTACATTGCTGGACTCCCACATGGCCAGCTATTCAAGCCATGAACCTGATGGCCTGAAACTCACGCCAGGCGCATGTGCATACGTGCCCAAGTTCCCGGAGGACAGTGGAGAAGAAGGGATTGTGGCATGGCCATCTCCCAAGGTGGGGATTCTTTTTCTCCCTCTCAAGGTCTCTGTCTCTCTGGCAAGTGCATACACCCTAAGGCAGAAACCTCTAAAACAAAAACAAAAACAAAACAAAAAATACCTCTTGAAAATATTTTGATTATGAATGAATATTTAGTCTACACTGTAGTACCACTACCATCAGGATGCTGTTTAAGTACAGCAAAATTCTAAACAAATTTTCATTTTTTTCCTTAAATTCTGATAATTTTTATTCTTACACAAATTTATGATATGATACATTTTAAAAATCATCCAGTCTCAATGGGTATTAAACATTTTTATTTCAAGATTTTTAAAATAACAAAAAATGATACACAAATACAGATTACATTATCATGACCAAGGCAGTATTCTACCTGACAAAAAAATCAAAATGAAACAAAATTTATAAAGTAAATGTACCGGTACTGAACAAACGTAATACTTGAGATCCAGTCCAGGCTGCATACACACAAAATGACTGACCACGTGCTTATGCAAAATAAGTTTCTTCTTCGAATGCCAACATCCCAGCCTTTCTGGCTGTCCACTGCCTTTTCTTTTTTTTTTTTTTTGAGAGAATCTTTATATAATATAAAAATAACTGGCATGGCACTTAAAGACTGCAAAAAATAGAACACAATTAAAAACATCTGTAATGCAATTCTGTATAAAATATACATGGCAAATTTTATTGGTTAAAAAAAGATTTAAAAACAAAAGACCACCATGAATAATGGTTAAAACCTCATCATATAAAAATGCTCATTATTTGTACATTATTGGTAGAAAACCGATAGTTTTATTGTGTGAAAAATAGTGGTTTTGTGTGGTGGGGGGGGGGGGGGGAAGCAGGGAAGGGTATGTCTAACCTAAAGAAGTCATTCACTCAAAATTGATTTAAAGCTGTAAATAACAACTCACTGCTTACTCCCTCTCAAAATGTTTTATCGTGAATATTCTAATATTTAGCCACAGGACAAAAGAAAAGATTAAAGTGTTTTCTCAAAATGAAATCCAAAGGCCCACGAGAATTCTAAGGTAGGCCCAGTAATGTGTATTTTAAACAGATTCCCTAGGTGATTACTCCATATTCAGAAATGTGAGAACTAATGCTCTGGTGATAACAGCACCACTTAAAAGTGAGATCTTGAACATATTTCTGACATCAAACTCAGAAACCTGTCTAAGTTTATGAATTAAAGTGAAGGCTGCTTTCTGTTTTAAAATCAGTATCAGGTATGAAAAGAAACACTAATGCCTTTCAAACCAACATGTGAATATACGTAAGCCTCTTCTGAGGTTCTCATTGCTTTCAGACTTACTTATGTGAAGAAAAAAGAGCACATGGCCAGAAATTGGGAAAATAACGGTCCTAAGAAAATGTAGCATCCAGAAAAAAAAAAGATAAATTAAATACTTACAAATTTTAGATCATTCTAAATTTAAGACTAAATCGTCTAAAGACTAATTAACTTCCCCTAAAATTAAATTTTACTAAGATTGGAAAATTTAAGTAATGTAGATTATTATGGTTACTTTTTAAGTCCCTTTTCATAAAAACAAAATTAAATAAACAACAGAAGGCTGCTATATCTAGCACCCCTTTAAATAATAAGTTGTTAAACAGTAATGTTAATAAAAAGTAACCTGAAGAACTCTGCCCCTGAAATGTATTCTTATATATTAAACATTCTACTTAATAAAAGTTCACCCAGGAAGCTGGGACTGGACTGTGTGAGCATGTATGCTGTGTCCTGAACATTTACCTGCATATACTTCCACATTTTTCTTGGACTGCAGTGACGACTCCATAAACAGGGTCTAAAGGTACAGATAATGTGCTTTTGGGAAAGAAATGAGCACAGATTTAAAACATTCTCCTTGGAAGGTAAACTTTTTTTCGGTATACTAAATTATAAGGAGAAAAAGTTAGATGTTCTGCTGCCACTAAATAAATGGAATGCTTTTACAAGTATGAGAACAAGTGTCTTTTAAATTAAATCACAGAGAGCAACGGTTGGGTTTACTTGCCGGAAAGAAAGAACTACTACCACTGTCTCTCTGTATTTATTTTAAATTCCTCTCGTTTTTTCCTTTCTATATACGGAGTAATTTCCCACTCAACTGCATCCTGTGACTTCCAAACGGTATACATTAATATTCTAGGTAAAACTTGTGCTAAGGGGACAACCTCAGAAGCTACCCCCTTAACAGACTAAAAAACTCACTTGTGCCAGTTTTTTAAAAAATAGCTAATGATTTGGAATTTGATTCTTAATAAAATTTGTCTTTTTTTTAACTCAAGAAGAATATGTATACCCCAGTTCTAAGCAAGCAACATCTTTCATTGCCAATTTAATACGCTGCCTTAAAAATCAGTAACTTAATTACATGAGGCAATGATGAAATTTGCAGGTGAATGTTTAAACATCTGAAACTACTAGGTAATACGAGTGTTGCTGGAGTTTGAATTCATATTTTATTCCAAAATTAAACTCTCAAATGACTTAACACAGACTGACAAAAAATTATGGGAGGCTTACGATGTGATCCCACTTTCTGTCTTACTGGAACAGATACGTTCTTTTAAAAGCAGTGGTACTTCTTTTAAACAAAAGACAACCTCGTTACGTATCAGCAGGCCTCTAAAGAACCAGTGTGACTAAATTTTGACACGATTGTCTGGAAGCTAGTTTTAATTTCTTTTTCACAGCTAACCATAGATGTAATGATTGACTCTTACAGTCTACAATAGAAGATACCGAGTGCTACTTGTAGGTGGCAAATAGAGACGATTAATTGCATCCAGGCTAGTAAAAGTGTACCCATGCATTAAATGGCAACACGAGCAGAAAGCACAGCTGAAAAATCAGGATCAGACACATTCTTCTGCAGACATCAAAAGAGGATTGATATACTCAAAACCTTCAAATTCAGACTGATCAATCTTCCTCACAATGTCACTGTTGAAAGAAAAATACATTTATTTCCATTGTAACCGTGGTTCTTCAACCTTTAATTTAAATGGTAAAATAAGGTTAAAACAAAACAAAACAAAACAATAAGGGTAGGTGTATAAATTGTGAAAAAAAAATCTATAATTTCTTACATTAATACCAAAACATTTTCTGAAAGAATCAAGAATAAAGAACAGTGAAAATTTAAAAAGACCAACAATCCCACAAGCAAGTTTAGAGCCAAAAGGTAGTTCAAAACTGAAGCCCGGGGACAAGAAAGGCATGAGTTCCATAATCCCAGGCAGTCTTAACTGCTGACCTGAGCAACATGTGCAACTGCAGCTGCACATCCAGGTCTGAGTTAGCACCCGGTTTAGTCCCCTCACAGCCAGATGGAAGATGGTGAAGAGAAGGCCCAGAGGAAGTCAGCCAAAGGGAAAGGCAGCAGGAACACATGCTGAGACACCTGGCACAGGAGCGGGCAGCACAGGAGGTTAAGGGTCAGAGAGTGGAGCGGGCACCCTGTGCACTGGGCTTGTTTCACACACAGCAAGACGGCGGTACTACCCAGTCTTCTAATACCTCAATGCACGCGTCGCACGGAGGAGCACAGTCACTAGAGGACATGGTCCCTGGCTTCCAAGCCGGAGGGAGAGTGGGGCAGCTTGCTCATACTAGAAAGCCGTGAGAGGAAGCAGTACCTGCTAAGTTTCACACAGGATAAGCTAAGCCCTGTTCTCACCAAAGTTCTAAAGAAAGGGGTGACTTCTAGCTGGGGAAACCGAAAACCTAATAAAATGATGAGATTATAGCAGTTCTGGGGAAATGCAAGTAATTTACTGGAGTTGAAGTGAAGGACTAGAGGTGGTGAATGGCAGATGATGCTGGGAGGAAGGTAATGGATAAAGAAGTCAGTGATGTTTACAGGAAGCAGTTTCACTCCGATCCATGAAAGTTCTGAATGCACTGGAGTTGGCTCTGAAAGATGGGAAGATTTCCACAGGTCAATGAAGAAGGAATATAGATCTACGGGCAGGCAGAGAGGGAGGGACAGTGGCCCTCCTCTCAGGGAAGGGGCAGTAACTGGCACTCTTAGGAACACTATTTGTGTTAACAGTGGGCAAGATGGCTAGAAGGTCAGGCTGGAGCAGATGGGGGAGGCCTTAAATGACTGAGGGCTTCGGATTAAGAGCGTTAGTCCTTCAGGAGATGTACAAAATAGGTTGCAAAGTAAGGGAAGGAGATCAGTAAGGAGGCTGGTGCCACTGGGCATGAACTGAGTGAGACTTGCACTCGGGTGTGTGACAGAAGAGGGACAGGAGGAGCTGATGCAAGTGACAAAGCAGTAGAGGGAGAACAGGCCAGGACTCAGCAGCCGCAGGTACATGTTCTGTGAGGGACAAGGAGGAGTCAGCCACCACTGACATTCTGAATATGCATGACAAGAATACATGGTCCAGGGGACCAGCAGTTAGCATAATGGCTGTGTCGCTGGACTCCCACGTAGTCGACTGCAGTTCATGTCCTGGACCCGGTGGCTTAAAACTCACGCTGGGCGCGTGTGCATGCGTGCCCAAGATCCCGAGAGGAGAACGGAGGAGAAGGGATTGCGGCGTGACCATCCCCCCTGGGGGGGGTGATTTCTCGCTTTCTATCTCTCTGTCTCTCTCTGACTATCTGGCGAGCGCACGCATCCTATAGCAAAAACTACTCCAAAAAAAAAAAAAAAAGAATACATGCATGGTCCAAAAGATCAGAAATAGGTAAATAAATTTTTACAAAGAAACTGATTAAGAATGATAGGAAAAGAGACCACAGAAGGTCATTTATTCTATTTTAGATCTGGTATGGAAATGCCGCTCAGGAGAGATCAGGGCAGGGGTTGGTTGCTTCAGAAACCATCACACGTTTACCCGTGACAGCGACCTTCTGAGGAAGGCAATATATGGAGATACAGGCTCAGAGAAGTTACATAATTCACATCCGAGGTGACCCAGTTGGCAGGAGGTGGCATCGGGACTTAAACATCTCTCTTTCGATTAAATCCAGTGTTCTTTTAAACACATGACGCTGTCAGAAACCCCGATTTGGAACATACCTCTCTCCTCCCGTAGCCAGTATGCGCTGTGTCCAAACGCCTGGCACCTATTAGCGTAATGCCTTTTGCTTAGTAACTACTTGCCAATCTAGCTAGGGGTCATTTAAACGGCTGGTAGCCAGTGCAGGGTTGGCTGAATGCTCCAAGGTACAAATTACATACAGAAAGAGAGCAGAACCACGCATCTTTGCCTGAATGGGACAGGGAAGAGCCGACAGACGAGTGGTCACAGAGATGAAGCAGAACCAGGATGGGTGTTAGGACAGCCCACGAGTGCCAAACGCTTTACAGACAACAGGAGGGATGAGGACTGACTGAAAAAATGCTTTACAATTAGACGTTTAAGAAGCCAATTCAGCTTTCAAAAACCAAAGGAGCAGGTTAAACTGTAAGAGGTTAATGCTGGCAGTAAGAAAGTGTGAGACTGGGCCAAGTGGTGGCATGGTGGTTAAGGAGGCTAGATCCCACAAGGCTGATAGCATGGTTCAAGTCTTGGGTCCAGTGGCTTGAAAAACACATTGAGCGTGCACGCACACGTGCCCGAAACCCCACAAGGAGAAACGGAGTAGGGACTGTGGAGCAACCCGTGGAGGGGTGTTTTCCCACACACTTCTTCCTCCCCCATCTCTCTCTGGTGAGTTCAACCCTCTAGCAAAAAAAAAAAAGAACAAAAAAGGGAAAGTGTAAGGCGATCAACATTGACCATTCTGAAGAAATCTGATAAAGATACTGCTGGTTTTTTCCTTCTACCATGAACATCAGATTGGTCTCATAGCCTAAGTGTTAAGGGAGTTGGGTTCCACACGGCCAACCACAGTGCCGTCCTTGGCTCCAATCCAGCCCCACCAGCTTGAGAAGCACGCCAGGCACATGCCCCAAACCCCAACAGGGTGGAGACACGAGGAGAAAGGACTGCTCATAAGCATGCTCATCGGGAGGTGCTTTCTCCGTCCCTCTTCACTCTCTCCCTGGAGCGTGCCCTCTCACGATCAAAAACAACAACAAAAAACAAAAACAAACAAACAAAAACACCCACCTTACCATGAGCATCTATGAATTACTTATAAAAAAAAAGCCTGACGATGGCTTTTCTTAAAAGCCTGACGGTGGCCTAGGCACCGTGGCACAGGTGGCAGCATGTTGGTCTGCAGTGCTGAAGCCACAGAGCTGGCCGTGGATTCAGATCCTGAGTTGACCTGAAACATACTAGGCATGCGTGCCCAGGATCCTGACTGGTAGAGGGATGGGGAAGGGGCATCATGGCGTGACAAAACCCTGTCCATGGTGATCCTCTCTCTCACGTGACAAACAAATACGTTTTTAAAAAAAAAAAAAAAGAAGAAAATTTAAAAAAAAATTTTGAAGGTGAAAAGAAAGTGAGAGAGAAAAATGTGGCTGTTCACAGAAGCTACGATTCGGGAAAATGATTCACAGTATTTGAGCATGTTCATAGGCAGAGGGAATGCTGGGGAAAAAAGAACAGAAAATGGAATGAGATAACAGACGAGTAAAATCTTGGAGGAAACAAGTCTAGTAAAACAGAAGGGGCATCCTTTGCGAAAGGAGAGCCTTCCAAGAGTAGGGAAGAAAAAGGGTGAACGAGTTAGAATGTAGTCCTGAGGCAAGGCGGACTGCTGCAGCTGGAAAGGGAGGAACGTGTACCAGAGCGGCCTCGGTCAGTCCCTGCAGTCCAGTTAATGCAAGGTTAACCATGAAGGGTGAAGGGAAGGAGGCAGGCTAGGATCGATGGCTTCTGAAACGCACAGACCGTTTGGGAGAGGAGCTGCGACGAGTGGTAAGAATTGGGGTGTAAGTAAAATGACTGTCAAACACTAAGAGACGCCTTGAGCTTTGTGAAAATGAATCTGTAATGACAGGTATATATTCAAAATATCCCCAAATTATCCCAAACTATATTTTTAAAAGATGCGAAATAGATACAGAAACAATTACAGATCACTGCTGGCTGATTTGATAACTTGATGCAATCTTTTAAAAAGCGCAGTCGGGTAGTGCTGATCAACAGCTTTAACATTTCCAAAGCCTTTGCCCGAACTCCCTTTCTAGAAATCTATCTTAAGGCAATACTCAGGAACTCGGGCAGACCGTTACTGTCAACACGGGACACAGCAGCAGAGTAGCAAGAGCACAGCCTTAGCCAGCCAGGTCTGGGTGTGAGCCCTGACTCTGCACCTGACAGCTGTGTAACTCTGCCTGACCTCTCTGAGCCTCGGTTTCCTCATCTGTAAAATGAAGATGACAGTGAACAGCCATGAGGCTGTTTATGAGGCCCTAGTGAGAATTAGGGATAATGAATGTAAAGTGAAGCAGAAAATAAATGACAGTTATTAAATTTATGATATAATAGATCTAAACATCTAATAAACTGAATGGTTAAATTCTAGTGTAACTGACGAAACACTGTACAGTCACTAAAAAAAGGGTTTTCAGAAAACCTTAACAACTTTTCAGGGTCTGGAAGTACTTACTCATCATCTGGAGTGAGCTGGACAGGTTCATTAGTAAACTGAGAGTCAAAGTTGTCCAAACCAAATTCACCAGAAATGTTTGGTTTAAAGGGAGGTACCACCTGCTTTTGCTCCATCTAAAAGACATAATTGGGTAACAGCTCAAGTCTGCATTCTTAGAGAATTCTACCTCAACATTTCTCCTTTGCCCTCAGATGTTTTCCACCTTTTCAAAGGCATGGTTCTACAATATCAACTATGATGAGTATCATTTACAAATCTGATACGGGCTACAATATCACAACATGCTCCTCGACATAAACAGTCTGATGTTTTTGTTTGGAAAATGTTTTAGGACCAGCTGGTGGCATCCCCAGGCAGCTGGGTGCTACGTGGTCAGCTGAACAAGTCCTGGACCTAGCAGCTTGGAAAACACACCAGACACATGCATGCCATGCCCAAAATCCTAAGAGGAAAATGGAAGAGAAGGGACAGTGGCCTGGATGTCTCCCGCAGTGGGTGCTTTCTCATGCCCCACCCACCCCACCTTCTCTCTCTCCAATAAGGGCATGTGCCCTATAGCAAAAACTAAAAAGAATGATTTTGTTATTTAAGATGTATATATTAGTTCATCAACACTGTTTTAAGATAACACAATTCAGGTCAGTAGGTGGCATGGTGCTTAAGGTGCCAGACTCCCACATGGCTAACAATGGTTCAAGTCCTGGACCTGGCACCTTGCCTTCTCACTTTTCCTCTTTTTCTCTCTCTCACTGTCTATCTTGCTATGGTCAATGCATGTGCCTATAGCAAATAAAAAAAATAATGATCATAGATAAAATTAAACAAATAATTATTTTAAAAAATTAAATTCAGTTCAAGGTAATAATAAAACCTAATACAGATAATAATCAAAATTTACATACCATATCCCAATCAACATTTCGGAAGAATGGGTGTCCCTGAATGTCAGCAAATCCTGTTTGAGGATGACAACCCAATCGTTCTTTTGGGTCCTAGAGAAGAAAAGTTTCAAGGATTACGTGAACGTGTCATTCTTTAAAAGAAACCATTTCTGTGGCCCAGAGCACACTGGTCTGGACGCCTGGGTCTGCCTGTAAGCATGCTGGGCGTGTGTTCATACACCCAGGATCTCAGCGGACTGGAGAAAAGACACCATGACATAGTGAGACCCTGAAGAGGGTGTATCTCTCTCTCTTTCTTTCCCTCATGTGTACAAACTGCCATGAAAAAGTAAACTTAAAAAATATTTTTCTTAAAATCATTTTTGTGGGACCAGGAGGTGCGGTGGTTAAGGCACTGGATCCCAAATGCTGACTCTGCACCTCGCGTTCCAGACTACTATATCTTTATCTCCGAAATGACTGAAACGATCTACATTTTATCTCCACAAAGTAGAACACTACACTTAATTGAGTTATTTGAAGCTTGTGGCAGGTGTAAGATTTCCTGCCGGCTCTCTTGCTACCTCCCGTGTAATTAAGGTGTAAAATTTTCACCAGTCCTTGCTAAAAGAAAATGGGGGGAATGAAGGGAGCAACAGAATCACTGAAGAGCACCCCGTTATTTCCTCACAAGGGCTAAGATGACAGTCGAACAGGTAAGCCCCAAACTTTACCACACATCTGTCCTTAGAGCGACTAAAAACCTCTATACTGTGCTGTTGTGGAATTGTATGTTGCCTGACCTACTGCTTACCAATTTGGCTTACACAGACAGAAGCAAGCACGGAAGGTTTTAAAATGGCACACACCTTGTTGAGGAAGCTCTTCAGGACACTTGCAGCCTTTACAGACAGAGAGCGTGGTATACGGATTTGTTTTTCCAAGATAACTAGAAAGAGAAGACCATGGCATTATATTTCATTTTCACCTAACTTTAGTCTCTACTTTTTATTATGAGACATTTAAGGCATTCCAGAAAAAAAAAAAATTGAGACTACATACACAGCTAACGTGCTTTGTATACTTCCCAATCCTATTTCTCTCCCTCCTTCTCAGAGACTGCCTCTAATCTGGACATTGTATGGTTTTAAAAAAATCGTTATTTAATTTTATTTATTATCATTATGTTTTTAATTTGACCAAAAGAATAGAGAAGGCAAGTGAGAAAGCAAGCCGCCAGGTTTGGGACTCGACCGTGGTCGGCCCTGTGGGAGTCCAGTGCCTTAACCGCCTCACCATCTGCCGCCCCAACCTTGCATGTTTTATTCTTTGGCTACGTTACGGTTCCTCCATTTCTTCATTTGTGTAACAGGAATAAGAAAGAATAACTGCTTCATAGATTATGAACTTTAAATGAGTGAGTATTCATAAAATGCTTGGTACATATATTATTTTATTGGACACTGTAAAATTATTTTCCAAAGCTGGTGTATCAATTTTCATTCCCACCAGTCTTCTGTTATTTTATTCTTTTCAAGTTTTTGCCATAATGTGTGTACTCGCTGTGGTGGGAGGAAAGAAAGTGAGAAACTAACCCCTGGGAAGATGGCTACACAGCAGTGCCCCTTCCTACAGTGTCCTCTTGGAATTCTGTGTGTGCATGCACACATATGTACCCAGCATGATTTTTAAGCCACTGGGTCCAGGCCTTGAACTCTGGTCAGCCACATGGGAGATGAGCGCCGTAACCACCATGCCTTTTTGCCTTCTGACCGGAGCCTCTATGAAAGCTCCGACGGCACCACATCCTCTGGCATCATCAGACTTTAAAATCTTTTCTAAATGAAGACCAGCAGATAGCATAATGGTTACTTTGCTGGACTCTCACTTGGTTGACCACGGTTCAAATCCCTGCCCTAGCGGCTTAAAACTCATGACAGGTACATGTGCATGTGTGCCCAAAACCCCGAAAAGAAAATGGAAGAGAAGGGATTGCAGTGTGGTCATCCCCGTGGGGGGATAGTGCTTTCCTGCTTTCTGTCTCTACCTCTACAGTGTGTGCATGTGCCCTATAGCAAAAATCTCTCTAAAAACAAACAAAAATTGTCTAAATGTATGGACACGAAATGGTAGCTCACTTATGTGTCTGTATGTGTATATAAATGTATACATACACACACACACACACACACACACACACACACACAGTTCTGCATCAGAGGGTACATGTGCTCACCAGAGAAAGGGGGATGGAGGAGAAAATGGAGGAGAAAGCACCCCCTCCCATGGGAACAGTCGCACAGCAACCCCTCTCCTCCATCACTCCTGCCTTTTGGGATTTGGGGCTTACACGCAGACGTGCCTGCAAGTTTCTCAAGCCACTGGGTCCAGGACCCAAACCGTGCAGTTGGCCACGTAGGGTCCAGCTGCCTTAACCACCAGGCCATAGAGCTGGCCCGATATCGTAAAGTGCGCTCCCTGGTTACCAGTGATGCTGATATCCCTCCATGCCATTCGGGTTTCTCCTTACAGACGGTTCCTGGGATCCATGGAGGATAGGTTCTAGGACCCCAAGAATACTAAAACCCACAAATGCTAAAGTCTCACATATAAAATGGTGTGGTACTCTGCACGTAACTTACAATATTCTCCTACATACTTTAAATCATCACTAGATTGCTTATGCTCAGGACAGATGCTACCATCACATGCCTCACCACAGGGCACAGTCCGCCATGTCACCACAGGGCATGCGTCCTGACGTCACCACAGGGCATAGTCCAAACGTCACCACAGGGCACGCATCCTGACGTCACCACAGAGCATGCGTCCCGATGTCACCACAGGGCACCCGTCCTGATGTCACCACAGGGCACGCATCCCGACGTCACCACAGGGCATAGTCCAAACATCACCACAGGGCACGCGTCCCGACGTCACCACAGGGCACGCATCCTGATGTCACCACAGGGCATGCGTCCTGATGTCACCACAGGGCACGCGTCCCGACGTCACCACAGGGCACGCGTCCCGACGTCACCACAGGGCATGCGTCCTGATGTCACGACAGAGCACAGTCTGCAATGTCGCCACAGGGCAGTGTCGGTTGACCCTGCCGGTGCAGAGCCTTGGACACAGAAGGCTGGCTATGTGTGAAATCTCCATTCTGACCCTGTGATGACTTCAGTTACTAAATGTAGAACTTCATGGCGGTCTTTAACTTCTTCGGGTTACATGTGTAAGGGACCCTTGTGCTTGTTTCTGTTCTAGCCAATTCTTTGTGTGCTCCGTCACCAAACCCTTCTCACCCTTCTATGATCCCTCTTATCTTCTCGGTCCCCACTGTCCCTACAGTTCTTGAACCATGCACTCAGCCTCGGGGTCCAAGTATGAGGACTCTTCTCTAGCCGCGAGACTCTGCTCCGATCTGTCTGTGACGTATGCTATGCAGGAACCACTTCTGATCTCTGAGTGGGGGGAGGAAACTGTGGGCTGCACTGAAGACCAGAAAGGGAGACGCAGAAACAAACTCGGGCCTGGTACGGCAGCAGGCCCTGGATGCTGCGGCTCAGCATGCTGAGGCCTCAGGGAGGCCTGGGCTTGATTTCCAGTCGTCCTAGAAGTTGGGTGAGAGCGTGTACTCCTGTATTCCCAGCTGCTTGGGAGGCTGAGGCAGGAGGACTGCCACGTGACAAAGTCCTGTCTAAAATCCCACACAACACACACAACCAAACCTCATGCATTAAGTCCGGAGTGTACTGCCCAGATTACTGTCACTTTCCTTATTCAAAATAGTAACCTGAGTTGCTGTCACCTGTGCTCTAGAATAGGTCATTCACAAAGAATCTCTGTAAAAAATGCAGATTACCTTGGAAGAGATAGTCTTCTGTGTTTTGGTCAGGGTTATCGGAGCTCCCAACAATATCAAATGGAGACCTTCCTGCCATCATCTCGAACATAAGCACTCCCAGAGCCCACCAGTCGACACTGAAACCTTTGGAAAGAAATTTTAAAGCAATGAAGTATCCATTCTTTATTCCTAGAGATTAGTAATTAGTGATTCATTTTATCACATGATGGAAAACATAATAAAAAAGTAAACTCTAAATGCATTATAACTCTTATGGTAGGCACTGAGGACTACAGAATGCTTCACTTACCAACAAGGGTAGGTACCTAAAATATAGCATTAAAAATAAAATGATGGGAAATGAAACGCTTCTTTTTCCAAACGAGTTTGTCATTTCACACTCTTGCTCAGTTATCTAATATTTTGAGGATATAGATACGCTACATTTAAGAACAATCTCTTTTGGTTTGAAACCTGCCCTTCCTGTGAGCTGAGACCTTCGAAGGACCTGAGAGACAGAGTGTGAGAAGTCTCACATCCTCCTTAACATCTGTGGAAATCAGAGGACCAGAACATAGAGTCAAATACTTCCTTTCTTAATATAAGTGTATCCTCTGGTGCCTGACGAGCAGTCAGTCTTTCCACCATCTTGCAGATTCCTGGGGGGAAATATGTCAGGGTTCTGGACAACCCTCCAGAGGGTCATGAGTCTGGAGTCACGTGGCTGCCCTTCTGAATCCTATTTCTGCTACTTCCTATTGTCTGACCTTAGGCAAGGTTAAGCTTTCTGCACACCAGTCTCACCTTTGCAGTGGGAACAACAGTGCTTCCTTCACAGGGTTGTTGAGAGGATTGAACTAGGCCCATACATGTAAACTGCTTAGAATAGTGCCTGACACTTTTTTCCATTTAAAAAAAATTGTCAGAGGGTGCCAAAGAGAGAAACAGAGAGAGAGAGAGAGAGTCAGAGAGAGAGAGAAGTGGAGGGCGAAAGCTGCCTGCAATGAGGCTTGGTCACACCACAATCCCTTCATCTCTCCATCCTGCTGGGATCTTGGGCATGCATGCGCACAGACCCTGTGTGTTTTTCAAGCCACTGGGGCTGTAATTCGAACTGTGACTGGCCATGAGGCATAAGGCTCCCTTAACCAGTAGGCCATGGGGCCGGCCCAAGTGTCTTTTGACACTCTAGTAGTTTTCAATAATAAACTATTACTCAAATTTTTTATCCATAAATACTGACAAGGTCAACTATCTCTGATTTCAAAGTTTGGAGTCTTCATGTAGGTTTGAACAGGATCAATAAAGTTAGTATTAATAAAATCAGTATTAGAATGCTACGTGTGCTACAATGCAGCTGGCCCACACTAACCACCGGTCTAGCAACAGTTAAAACACCACCTATTTGTTTATTACCATAATCTTCTCCTCTTAAGATTTCAGGAGCAATGTAATTAGGAGTACCACAGAAAGTGCTGGTTGTATCTCCTGGTCGTAATCCTTCCTTCAATTGAAAAAACAAGACAAAAAAAGAAAGTTAAAATGTAATATAAAAATCTTCATTATGGGAATAAAATGAGTCATATCTCATGAAGAAAATAAACACTTTAAGTCCTACCCTCATAACACAACCACTGTTGAAATCTGAACATTTTCCTTCTGGTCGTTTTTCCTAGAGTACATGTTTTTTGGTTTATATTTTAAAAGATACAGCATGAAGAAAATGAAGGTAATACTAAAAACAAGCATAAGTAGAGAAACTATGCAATGACAAAGGAGACAATCACCAAATGCTATAAAGAAGGCAAACTTGTATTCACCTAACAATACGGCTTCAAAATACAAAGAGTAAAAAGAGAAAAAAAAAATTAGAAGAATTTCACAGTCTTAGGAGATTTTAGCATACCTATATCGGAAAATGATAGCTCACACAGGCCAAAAATTAATAAGCAGAGAAAGATTTAGACAAAAAGTGTAAGTTAAAGAATATATACAGGGACCAGACTCTGGGACAGCAATAACGCAACTGGACCCGCAGGGTAAGATTCCGGGATTGCGTTCTGGAACCTCCCTGTACATGCTGGAGGTGTGTGTATGTGCCCATTACCCAGCCTCGCTGATCAATGCCTTAACCACCACGCCACCTGATGGCCCCAAATATCTGTTTTAACTATTAAACATGTTAGACTATTGAAGAAGATCCTGAATGCATTATTTAAAAGTCATTAGGATGGGGGCCAGCAGGTGATGGGTGGTTAAGGCACTGGACTCCCACATGGCTGACCATGGTTCAAGTCTCGGACCTAGCAGCTTGCTTTCTCACTTTCCTTCTCTCTCTCTGTCTCTCTTGATCAACTTCAAAAAAATAAAATGGCAATGAATAAAAATACAATAATTCTTTTTTTTTCCCCCTTTAAAAATCAGCTTCATTCCTGAAATAGACGGCTTTATTCCTCTTTGACCCAACACATCCTGCCATTTTCTCCAAACTGCGCTGTTCCAGCTGCAGGGCTGTGGGAAATCCTTTGTGTTCTGCTAATTTCACTCTTTTCAGACAGAGTGGCCACAGTGTCACCCCTTTGCACGGGAATAGCTTCTTACAAAATAACCTGTGCAGAATCTACATTTTCAGCTACAAGTGTACAGTGCACCAGTAACTGTGACTCCAGATTCCAGGACTTGCCCATGGGCACTGGAACCCGCAAAAGGAGGGAGCAAGGATGGGTGGACATTGAGCATTTTCCCAATCCATTCTTCGACAAAGGGGCCAGACAGGATCCTCATAAAGCCCGCAATTCAGGCTCTGTCTGTGGAGAACTCTTCAAGGACTTGGTCAATTTCACTGTCAAATTTGACATGATTTTTATGTAATTTTTGATTAGTAACTCTGGCAGGAATACCAGCTCTTTCTGCTTTGTCCAGTATAGCCACTGCGGCTTTGCTGGAGATAACAACAACGTGTGCAGAGCTGAAAACATGGAGCGCTTCACGAATTCGCGCATCCTCCTTGTGCAGGGGCCATGCTAATCTTCTCTGTATCGTTCCGATTTTAGTCTATGTGCTGCCAAAGTGAGCACTACAAGAATTCTTAAAAAAAATAAACAAAATTAAATAAATAATTCTTTTTAAAGCAAGTCATTACTACAAGGCCCAAATCGGAAGGTGATATGCAAATGGACAAGCTAAAGTAGAACGGCGGGTAATTTTTACTTCCAGATTTTCTTCAATAGCGTGACAACTTTGAAGACAACATATTAGACAATAAAGAGAAATGAACTCTTCTTGTAGAACATAAAACATAGAAGATAAAGAATTTTGCAGGTGGGAAAAAGAACATTTGTCTTTGTGCTAGAATTCCCTGAAGTACCCTAAACCAAGCAGCAATCATTTCCCCATCTTTAACATGAAGTAATTTTACCAAGACAATATTATGAGCTTCTGTAAACCTTTTTAATAACTAGAAAATGTTCCTCACCTTACACATGCCATAGTCAGTGAGCTTAATGTGCCCTTCAGAGTCCAGTAACACATTGTCCAATTTCAAATCTCTATAAATGATCCCTCGTTCATGAAGATAATTTAATGCTAGACTGATTTCTGCAGAGTAAAATCTAAAATAAAATAAAAACTAAGTCATTTGTCTTAAAGATTAAAACTGTGGTAAGTTTCTAGAAGTATTTAAGTCCTACTCTCACCTGCAAACGAAACCATAAAAATCACTGTCAATAGATTTTTTTCACCCGATGTTTTTAGAAAGTAATATTAATAAAAACTTGAAGTAGTAGAAATGCCACTTTAAAACATCTGAGCCCAAAATACAATGATAAAAGTCCTAGTCTAACTTAAACTCACATTTTTCATAAAGTTACTAATTTGAAAGTCACAGTGGGGTTCTTAGTCAGGGTCCATGGGTGACACCAGGCAGTCCACACGCACACAGCTGAAGGCACAGCTGCACGACACGTGCAGGTGGACATTTTCTACTGCATTCCCGTAGCTCTGACCAACCCTAAGAGACCAATGGCCCACCCAACCCCCTACGAAAAGGCCTTTAAGAACCACTAACAGATTTAGAATAGAAAGAATGCTAAAAGTTAACTACTCTTTTTTTTTTTTTTGTGGAGAGGTTTTTGCTATAGGGTGTGCTTGCCAGAAAGACAGAGAGAGAGAGACAGCGAGAAATCACCCCCCAGGGGGAATGGCCACAACGCAATCCCTTCTCCTCCATTCTCCTCTTGGAATCTTGGGCATGCACGCACACATGCCTGGCCTGAGTTTAAGCTGCCAGGTCCGGGACTCAAACCACGGTCGACTACATGGGAGTAAAATACCTGAGTTGGTTTATGACTGCTTGGTGGTATGTTACAATTGCGTACATAACGCACTTGCTAGTACCTAATTCTATGATTAGGGATCTGAGCCTTTCCCAGTGCTTCAGTTTCTAGAAAAGCAAAGATGACAAAACAAACAAGCAAACAAACAGAATTGAGGGCCAGCAGGTGGAGTGGGAGCTGAGGTGCTAGACTCTCACGTGGCCAATACAGTTCAAGTCCCGGAGCTGGCACTTGCTCTCACGTTCTCTCTCTTTCTTTCTCTGTTTGTCTCTTTCTGGTGAGCACATGTGCCCTATAGCCAAAAAAAAAAAAGTAGTGATAAATAAAAGAAAAGAAGTAATCTTAAAAACAAATAAACAGGGAACCAGTAGTTAGTGTAATGGTTATGTCGCTGGATTCCCACGTAGTCGACCGCGGTTCGTGTCCCGGACCCGGTGGCTTGAA